AAAAAGTAAAAAGTACAATAAAAGAATAATATTTAATAAAGAAAAACGAAATTTTCTACGCTATAAAGATTTATCCTATCCCAAAACAGCGCAAAAAATGTCATCAGCAAGGGACACACACCATTTCCCAAGCTGGTGTCGCTCACTCATATTCGAGCAAAAAAAAAAAAGAAGTAAGAGAAATGGAAAAAGTAAAATTATGAGCTACTAAAAACAATTCACATCGAAAAAAAAAAAAATATATATGGATGTTCCTTGAAATATTAAAGACACAGAGTATATGCAGAGGCACAGCGAGAATGGGTGGGACGGACGACAAACAGCGAAGTGCATAGAAATGAAAGGAATAAGAAAAAAGAAAATGATAAACACTTAAATAACACTTCTTGCCACAAGTGCTTAACAATTTGTAATAAAAACAACACTTAAACTTAAACAGTAGTCGCGAAGGAGGAGCAAAGTGGGCACTAAGTAGATAATGCGGTGGAGAAACAAACTTGTTATGAGTAACCAAACAGCGGCGATCGGCAACGAGCCAGCGGGCCCGGCGGCAAACCGAGCTGGCAAATTGACATTTACAAGTAATTCGGCAAATTGTCACTTGGCAAGGTGACATACAGTCTCATAGCTGTATGTGTATGTGTTATGTAGTTAATGACACACAAACTTTTGCGCTGAATGAACAAACACGCTAACACGAGCAACTTGAGACAAATAAGACAAATAGAAATGCTAATAAAAATATTAACACAAAAATTCGAGCAATCAACGCAATGCCAGGCCCGACAAACTGAAGAGACCAAATTGAAAAATAAAAAAAAAAACACAAATAAATAGACGAGACTAACAATGTAGTGGGAAAATAAATATTAAATTGAGAAATGGTGTAAAAGAGGCCGCAAGAAATGAATTTGTACTATGTGAGTGTGTGTGGGATGGTTGCTTGGAGGCGATAAATAAGGTAAGTAAAATGACAAATAGCCAACACCCACACAGCAAACAAAGTCTGAGGTATGGTTGGAGGCACGGCGGTTTGCGAGCAAATGTTGCTCTGCGACAAATTGTATGTATGTATGTATGTGTGTTTGGCGGTCATGTACTACAGATGTGTTGCAGACAAGAACAAATTTAATTTTAGGGAAAAGTAAGAAAATAGAATACAAAAAATAAGGTGACAATATTCACAAACAAATAATGACAAATATTGTATAAACACATCACAGTTGAAGAGAGAGAAGGTTGAGAACACAACCATGAGGATGAGAACACCGTTAATACAATTGAGAACACCGACCATAAACTTGGGAACCCTGACCTGTCAAGGTTTACAAAACTTGTGGTTACTAGGCGAGCAAAATAACAGAAATACTTCTATACAAAGAAGCTCAATGACCACTTCCGTTCAGCTTATATGTAGAGAGAGCTCTAGAGCTCGAGGTATATAGTATACACTGGGCGTTTTTCTTGACAAAACCGGAGCATTTAATAATGCCTTCAATGGCACAATTATTAATATTCTAGCCATTGTAGAGTCCGCAATCATAACATGGATGGAAATTCCGCTCGTATTTAGCATTACCAAGACCAGTCAGTGTAACCTATACATAGGTTACTGATCATGCACGAAAATACTCACCAAAAAAACTTCAAAATAAAGAAGCTTCAGCGCCGAAAAGCTAGAACAAGTTGACGCTCACCACCACAATAGCAAGTCTTTGCATAATCAATACAACCCTACACTTATTTTTGAATAGTGATATTCAGACAAAAAACTGACTTCCATAAATTTCTAACAAATTAAAGAAACCAGTTCTTCATTCTTATAGCAAGACATTCATTCATACGAAAATAAATTTGTTTGAAAGTAAATACAATTAAGTCACAAATAAGTTTAGTTAAAATGTTTCTCCTTAACGCTCATTAGTCTAGAGATTAATGAAAACCGACATTTGTCAAACGAAATGTCATAGAAAACACTACAAGAAAAAACTCACGGAACTGGTGGAAGCCCCACATACATACATATTTCACATGGCTTTTGAAAACTGCGCTGAACAATTGACACTTTTAACACAAAACAAAAAAAAAGAAATAAGAAAACAAAACCGAATTAGCATAACGCATAACAACAAAAACAAAAAAGTGTTTGCCATCATCATTTGTATAAGCGTTAATTTCTTTGGCACACAATTATTTGCGGCTACGCGGTGGCAGTGACTGCCAGCTTGCCCTGGCGACTCCACTGGAAATATTATTATTATTATTATTCGGAGCTATTGCTCGCCTGTTAGTGCGATGGTAACAACTTTGGTGGCACATTTACGGCGCACTGATACGTAAGGTTGACTATTTGTAAGTGTGTGGGTGTGTGTTCGCCATTTAGCCATGCGCACATTTGCTGGTCTGACACACTTTATGTGCGCAATTTGCTTTAGTTTATCGAATAAGTTGTTTTGAGCGCTTGTTGCTTTTGTGAAACAATTCTATAATTTTTGTTTTTGTTAAATTTAGCTTGCGGCTCCTCCTAATGATATATGGTAATTATGGTAAATGTAATGCATAATTTGCTGAAGCTTTTGCCATCTTTATTATTTTTGAGTTTTTATCAAAGCTGAACATTGTTATTTCAAGTTGCGTCAGCAGAGTTGTGAACTATGTAAAAAGGTTAACAATTAAAAACTGTACTTTTCCATTCATTCTTTTCTATTTTTTAACCGGCATTTTGAAGTACTTCTCGCACATTCTTAAGCAGCAAACTTTTTGTCGAATTCTTGCGTTGTTATGGTCAAATAAAAAATTTGCGACCACTGCGCCACCTATCGGCAGCTTACGACGTTTCAGCCTTGCTTAGAAAGCTCCGAGTTACGTATAGTAGACCTGCTTCGATAATTTTCGAAACGACAAAAAATCAGATGAGTAGTTAAGGCTTTGTAACAAAATACGACAAGTGAAAAAATGGCAAAGAAAAACCTTAAATTCGGCTGCTCCGAAGCTTTAATACCCTTGGTATATATATTATACATTTAAGTGTCCTGACAATAATTTGTCAAGTTAATTACCTTTTCCATATAAGAACTTTTCTATAAGAATCCGATCTGAGCAATTTCTTCGGAGAAAACAAAAAGTTTCCCAAACGGAGATTTGAGTTTAATCGTTCTTTTTGCATGGCAACTATACGCAATAGTGGTCGAAAGTGGATAATATTTTCAGAAATTCTATCGTCGAGTACAAAAATTTTCCATACGGAGACATGAGTTTGATCTTTCATTTTGTATGGTAGCTATATGCTACAGTAGCTCTATCTGAACAATTTCTTCGGATATTATAGTGTTGACTTGGTCAATAATCCATGCCGAATTTTGTGAAGAAATTTCGTCAAAAACAAAAGTTGTCTATACGGAGACTTGAGTTTGATCGTTCATTTTGTATGGTTGCTATAGTGGTTCACTCCCGGACAATTTCTTCAGAAATTCTAGCACTGCTTTGGAGAATAAGCCATGCCAAATTCCGTGAAGGTAACTCGTCAAATAAGAAACTTTTCCATACAAGAACTTGACTGAGAACGTAATTTGTACGGCAGCTATATGCTGTGGTAGTCCGATATCGGCGGTTCCGAAAAATGAGCTGCTTCTTGGAGCGGAAAGGACGTGTGCAAAATTTCAGACCAATATTTCAAAAACTAAGGGACAAGTTCGCATATAAACAAAAGGATGGCTAAATCGAGTCAGCTCCACTATTTGGACTATTTATATAAGTACATATTTTATATAGTATATGTATGTATGTAAGTGTATGTAAAATATAAATTAAATGATATAGCATGTCTACAAAACTCTTAGAACGGCAATTTGTTAAGACTCTATGCTTTGAGGACGTAACACCAGCAAAATGCTGTGTCACCCTGGATGAATAGCAAATATCTTCAGTTGCCTATGCCACCACAAGCGAACAAAAAAACTGCGCATATGGCAAAGCAAAATGGCCAAATGCTTTGGGAAGCAAATAGTTTAATGGCAGATGTGTCAACGACAAGCCAGACGACATAGTTGACGATCGCCTGTTGAGGGCGTTGAACCTCGCGGTTTGACTAACCGGGCGAGCGCACAATTGCAGTTGGCAAACTTCAAACTTTTCAAGTTTACTACAAGCTTGGCCAAGGCACAAGAAGTCTGGTGCCACGGTTTTTAGATTTTTTGTTTATATTTTCTTTTCGTGCTAGCATATTTTAGTGTCAAATAGTGAGCTCCTCTTCTTTGGTATAATCTCAGCAAAAAAAATAATTAAATTGAATTAAAATGAAAATTAAATTAAAATAAAAATAAATCAAAGGCATATGGTAAAATTGGTTTGGAAACTTCTTCTTTATATTAGCCGCATTTTTAAACTTTTTATTTGACAAAAAGCGTTGCAAACCATACACATAATTGAAATCTCCTTTGCGTGCCTTAACATAATTGGCAACAAGTTTTCCATTTCTACAATGCGATTCTATTTTAAAGAGTGTCATTTGGTGAACTTGATTTCTAACTTTGCGCTCCAACTTTATTAATTTCCACAACGTTCACAAATGTTGGCTAATTTTCGCCAAAATACTGTGGAGTGTCTACTCAGGTCACGCAAACTTCACTTAAGAAACAAAAGGGAAGAAAATGTCATCGGATAAATATACAAATCTTACTTTGTAAAGCATATAGTTTGGACCATGTATGTATTTCAAAAATCTGCTAAACTGACGACGTGCTGGTAACTTAAAGTTTCATTTATTCATAAATCTGTCTCGCTTGGACTCAAAGGAACGCATTTTGTAGCCCAATTTTTCATGACCTTCACAATGATTTTTTGTTATAACTCACTCACATCTTAATCTATCCTATTAACTTTGAAAAAAAACTGAACAATTGTAGCCGGTAGTCATTTGTGATCAATTTGAATTTGACCTATTATTTTTCAATCTAATCATCCACTAGTCGTTACTCGCGCTGCACTCACTTTGCACTGAGCTTACTCATACCCAAATATTCGTGAATGCTATGATTTATACGTTTAGTTGATATCTCTAGCGTGCCTGCTATCTCGAACAAATTCACTTTACGCTCATCAAAATTATTATTTGTGGACTTTTTTGTGGAAATTAATTTTTTTATAGGTTTTTTCCCAATATCAATAGTTGCTTAAATCAAAGTGACGTGTAATTTACAAATTAATGATCCGACAGTTGAAAAAGTTATACACGAGCCGTTTGAAGGACCAAGAGTTTAAAATTGAGCTGTTATATACTTTACAAAGTCGCAAAACACATCATCATCATTATTGTCATTACCATCATCGTCAGCATAAGCATCATTATCATCATCACCCTCAACCTAATGACTTTTATTCATTACTGCCTTCTTTCTGATTTTCATTTGGTCTAACTCGTTCTGAAGTTCTTAGTATATTTGCACTTCTTTGTTTAACTGTGCGTGAATGTTATATTTTTCTTCTTCTCTGCGCATGTGAAGAATGAAAGCCATATAATTACTGCGGTAATTATAACGCAGAGCATTACGTTGTGAGTTGAGGCTATCCAATAGAATGTATAATCTATTTTCTGCTTATGCTTTTGACACGTGTGAGTCTTCTTGTTTTTTTACATTACGTTACAAAATTCATACCTGAATCTCAGGTGTAATTAGGGTTCCTGTAACACAATCGAACTAAGTATTTGTTCGCTGAAATATTTCGATGACGTAATTTGATATGACGTGACAACCGGATATAGCTATATAATGCTTATATACTAGATATAACCCAGCCTAATACTAATATTTGTGGTTGCTGCAGCTTTTTTTGCCACATAACCATTTATAACCATTGAAATTCTTATCAAGCTCAGGCTCGCTAATAAGACAACGGTGTCCGTTTTCAGCGCATGCTTATCGCAAATCACTTTCTCAGCCATAACCATAATCGATTTAATTTTGTTTTGATTGCTTGCGTCGTTTCGATCAGAAAACCATCAGAAAATACGGAAAGTATTAAAATAAAAAATAAAAAAATAGCAAAACTCACAGCCGACAAATCGTTGTGCACGCCCCGGCGACTACATCAAATAACAAAAACACATTTGTGTGTAGCGGAAGGAGCGCAAAAAATAGCGTGTCGAGCGCACGAAAGTGTTGAACTACCAAAATTAATAATTCAATTAATCAATTTCACATTAAACGCCACGCCAGCCAACACAAATTACTTAAAGAAGTCAACAAAAAAAAAAAAAAACCAAACACCATGTGATGTGAAGCGCTATCAACACGAACGCTTATAAAATTATTGAATGCCCATTGTTGTCCAGTGGTCAGTTTCTGTTGCTGATTCTAACACGGCAACATCAAGAGCCGATAGCTAACCCCGACATATCTTGTTGCCGTTGGAGGCGTTAGCGTTCGCCAGGCGTATTTACGCGCTGTGCGTGTCTAGTTCGATTCACACAGCCAACAACAATACAACAGTTCCAACTACGCCTACAACACGCCTCCTTCCCGTTTCGACGCTTCCGTTGCTTTCTCAAACTACACTTCTCAGCCATTCACCGTTCATTCCGTGAAATTTTCAGCCTCTATTTAAGCTATGCTTTCTTGAAGTATCTCATTAAATTGACACGAGTTGAGTGAACTTTGTTTGAACTTTTAATAAATTCTGCAAAAATGTTTTTAGCCTGTCTTGTGCGTGTCTGCTTTATTGCCAAGCTGCCCGTTCAGCTAAGCATTCTTTTCTCCACACTTTGTGCGTAAGAGTGTCTGTTCGTTTCTTAATGATGTCCGTGTTTTATCCTTAGATGGCGATGGCTAAATTGCGTGTTATTGGTTTATTAATTACATGTGATTTCACACCTCGTCCAGCGTAAATATTTTGCTGCGAAGTGTTGTTGGTTTTGCCGCATCGCAAGGGGAAATCTTTGGCTACGTAAGGCTTAATGAATGGTGCTTAAGTCGTGGGAGTATAAAAAATGTAATAAACAAAAAGTATGTGGACTCATGCTCTCAACGTCTCGAGTGCTGAACTTTATATATAACCTTCTGAAACAGGGTGACCTCTGTAACATTGTTGTTTGCAGTGATATGTTTAAAATGATAAAACTGATGATGATTATGATGATGACGATAAGGATCATCATAATTATAATTATAATTATAATGATAATGATGATGATGACAATGACAACGATGATGATTATGACAATAATAATGATAACGATGATAATGATAATGATGATGATAATGATAAGGATCATAATAGTTATAATGATAATGATGATGACGACAATGACAGTGATGATGATTATGATAATAATAATGATAATGTTAATGATGAAGACGACGATAACGATAATGGTAATGATGATGATGATAACGACAATGATGATGATTATGATAATAATAATAATAACAATCATAATGATGATAATGATAATAATGATAATGAAAAGGATCATAATAGTTACGATGATAATGATGATGATGATAATGAGAATGATGACAATGATGATAATTATGATAATAATAATAACAATGATAATGATGACAATGATGACAATAATAATAACAATGATAATGATGATGATAATGATGATGACAACAATGGTAATGTGGTGACGATGACAAGAATCATAATAGTTATGGTGATAATGACAATAATGATGATTATGATATTAATAATGACGATGAACGTTTTGGCAAGCGCTTAATGAAAAGCACATCAATCTTTAGTACTCGAAGAAAATCACATTGATCTATCGTAAGAAAAATATGGCAACTATATGCTACAGCCTTGCGAACTGAAAAATTTATTCTGAAGTTCTATAATGATAATGGTGACAAATTTTATGAAAATATCTAGTCAAATAGAGCGGGTTCTCATATAAAAACTTGATTTTATTGAATCAGTTTATACGGTTGCATCAAAACGAGTAGCGTATTGAGTAGAAAAAAAAAAGTATACAAAGTTTCACAATGATATCTCAAAAACTAAATTCGATTCAGCCTTCCGGTCTTAGAGCAAATATCCTCTGGGTAGACAAAAAAAAACCTACGTTTGAAGGCGAGCTAAAGTGAGAAGGTTGTGCGCTAGGTTTGGGACCCGTCACGTAAAAATACCATATCAATGAAAACAAGAAAATTGTTTCGAATAAGAGACCCCCTTTTAATGGCGACCACTGCAAACGTGTTAAGGATTCCGATTTAAGGGTATTTACTTGGAATATACGGTTCATTAATTGGGAAGGTGCAGCGGCCCAGCTGGTTGATGTCCTCATAAGAGTAAAGACAGGTAGACCTGGCTAAATCGACAGGCTATAAAAATATTAGCGACATGGATCTATGCTTATCCAATGCTCCATGTTCACATTAGTCAACCGAGACGCCAGTTGTCTTTGTAAGCAATTAGCGTACATTGCGCAAGCAAACTATATACGTAATTACACATCATGGACAATTCTTGAATGAAGCTTTCGAAGCAAACGAAACTTTTTTCGCGCGGAAAATGTGAATACGCGCAACAGCGGGCAAGCGCTCATGAACTTGACATTCACTGCAATACAATGTCTCGCACAACGGGAGGAGATTGACGTGAACGGCGAAGCAACGAACCGGTAAAATTAAACAAAGCAAAGATCAGCAGCGGCTGGCAAGCAAGCAACAAGTTAGGGGGAAACAAAACCACAGAAAAAAACAAAAAAAAAAAACAAAAAAATCATGACAAAAAGAACACCTGACAGCCGAGACAATGGCCACGCAACAGGCGCAACGTAAACTTACTCAAATGCAACGCTGACTGCGAGAGTGGCTATTTGATTACAATGAAATCTTCACACAATACACCAGCTGCAATGCGCATGCGCTGATCGGACAAGCTCAAATTGCTGACACGTAGTTGTTGTTGCTTACTACAATAATAGTAATAATATTACACACGCGTGACGTCTATGGCTCACCATATGTGTCAGAACACATATGCATTGTTGCATGAGCAGACGATTTAAGGTCATGGCGGCGCGTTGCAGCCATAATCAGCCATTAACCGTAGATTCAGTTTACACTCTGCAACCATGTCTTATGCCTGCTTTTTTCTTGCAGTACGCACACACAAGGGGTGGATCAGCGCTGTCACTTAGTAAGTGCGCTAAATTTAAGCGAGATTTTGTTCTTTTATTTGCAATAACATGTCTATTACTACAATCCACGGTAGTATGAGACTTAACTTTTAACTTTTAACTGCAGACATTTAGACTTTCGTTCTGCCATTCAAATACTTCAGATCTCTTTAAGACTAGACATTTTGTAGATACTTGTTACCAATTCTTAGTAGCCAACTAAATGCTTTTACGCAAACCGCTTGGCAATAACTTTCAAGCAGCTAGCTGAGAAGTAAGTGAGTACTTATGTGCATAGCTCCATAAAGTAATATATATACATTTATAATCATGACTTGTTAATCTTCATGCCTATTATGTTTTCTAATAGGTTTAAATCTTGCTGCTTGCTTTTGTGCTTGCTTTGCGCACATTTCATACCAAAATCTTAAACGATCTTAAATAAATGATGAACAGGGTGGGTATCTCAGATACTGCTCAGCGTTAAGGAGCACTAAACTGTGAGTTGGCGAGTGCAACAACCTCCGTCAGTCATAACTAAGTTTTGGAGAATGAAATTCGGTTCATACGTGGGTTGCCGCTCATATTTCGAGCTTATGGAACAAAAAAAAATAATAATCATTGAAAATAGCTTTTTTGTTTTTCAAAATATTCTCCATTAAGATGTGTTTTCAACAATTGTCGTAACATTTTTTCCATTCTCATTGAGGATAGCTCCAAAACATGCGTTCTGAACGCATCAACTGACTCTTCAGTTGTCGAAAAATGACGGGCGTCGTACGCGAATAAAAATAAGTCATTCGACTATATAGTTAATGACTCAAAAAATCGATTTTTTTTTAGTCCATTTTTCGGCGTACTTGAATATTGTAAGTTACTGTAAATAAATAGCCCACTAATGCCAATTGTTCTCTGAATCTTATCTGGAGCTTCATCGCCAAAAAATCAATTTCGTTCAACGAACGTGAGTTGTAAAAAATAATAATGCAAAAAATGATGATGAATGAATATTTTAAGTAACTGTAAACAGGACAGGACAACCCATCTGTGGAAATTTTCAAATACAAATTCAGTTATGTGCGGTCAGACAATCATTAGAGCATGTGGTGATCGCACAGAGAAATCTTATATTCACGTATAAAATAAAGCACATTGCCATTTATGCAACTCTGCTTGGTTTTTATACGGTTTAGGTCACAGTTGACCGCTGGCATCCGTTTCCGTTCGTATTTCAACTATGCTAAATGCTTTTGTCACCATTTTACTACGTAGGTTTCATTAAAAGGTTTCCAATTACAAATAGTAATACTCGTATGTATTTCGTAATATTTTTTTCTCAGTCACGTGTGGCCATGTACTGACTAAAGGCATTTTGTGAGAAATCACGTTTAAAATATAATTTAATTTAATAATTTTAATTTGAAGTGTTGTGAATTCAAATTGGTTTAAGCTAATAACAAACCCAAGAAGAATATAATACAAATCAGTGCTTCAAGTCTAGTTTGCCAGAGAAGAAGAGAAAATTCAAGAATTTTTAAATGTTCAAGTGCTTCTAACTCAGGCCAAAACGTATAATATATTTATAGAACATGTGTCAAATATTTTCCATTTTTCACGCCAATTATTTGATTAAATATTAACTTAAGTAATCCACAAGGAGTGATTTTAACTCGTACCAATTTTGAATTCTAAGAAGTCACAATAAAATTGTTGAATTTGCTTATTCGGTGAAATGTAATCCCTTAACTCTTCAAATGCTTTGCTAATACTTCGATAAACTGAACTGCAGGGTAGCAATAAGAAAAGACACTACCCCTTATCTCCTCCCTTCTATATACAAGACACTTAAGTATATATACAATATTTACTAAGAATTTAAAATGACTTATTTTCTGAGCTTCTTACGTACGAATGAGAAAGAGGCAGCGCACAAATGCTCACCAACTGCGCTCAGGTGTTGGAAAAGTGCATTTACTTAGCGTTTATGCATATCCTGGACTAAGCGAAGGACACACAATAGCGCAAGAAAATCAGACGGATTTGTTTGATTTTTTCAAAGAAATGATGCTGTGCTCTTTGAAGCGCGCTAAATAATAATCGATTATATCATAAAATCTCACGTTTTAACTTTCATTGTGCACGCACTTCGCTCATTCAAGTATTTATGAATTTTTCAAAGCAGTATAATTATTGCTGCTGGTATTGTTTGACCTTCATTTGAGCGAACAAAGCCAACGATATAATTGTGCATTGGCAGCAGCGATGAATTCGAAAGTGAATTTGAACAAATCTATCAGTCTACGCATAGTGGAACAAATGGATCGAACATTGATTTATGTTATGCTTACTGATGTAAGCTTCATGTTTAAAACAACAAAAAATGTAATGCATTTACGTATAACCATCTTTGGATGCGGCACAGCGAAATATGAGCTAAAGAAAACACAGATAATGCTTGCCAGCCCCGATAGATGCTCGTCCATGAAAAGCAAAATATGCAAGAAAAAGTATGCACTATGAGAAATTTAATTAATTGTTGTAGTTCAGGCTGAAAACGGTAATTGAACTTGTGGAACACTTGAAGTTGAAGCACAAAGACAATAAATTTTTTAAACCACGTAAACTCATAATACTTTTTCTTATTTAAATATGGAAGGTTAGATTAAGTTTGGTGAATCGGCTGATGTCTCGCGAGACCACAAATAAATGCCATTTCGGCAGCTAGAGCCGCGTGTGCGTTACGATGCCTAGAACTCTCAGCTATAGATCAAAAAGTGCGACAAAACACCTATAAATATCCACAAATTTATGGACGCGGCTAATCATAATACCAGCCTCAATGAATTTGTAGCTGCCTTTTGGCGGTTTTGCGTTTCCCCGGCTTCGTAAAAAGTATGCCAATCAAGTTACTTCAACATCATCTTCCTCATAGCTACTCTGACAAGTTGAGTTCTCCAAAAAAAAAAACAAAAAAAAAAAAAAAGTGGCAATGATATAGTCTCGATTTATGATGCCTAACACTGCGGCTATGTGAGCCTTGCCAAGAGCTAGCAGTTCAAGGCAACTTTTACATTTCATACTCGGGCAGAATGATTTCGCACTCAAACAATTGCTGGTTGCATGCATGTTGAGCTCGCCCGAGGCTCATAGATCCAGCAACCGAATGCATTAAGGCAGTAAAGCTCATCCAATCTGAAGGAAAGTCGCTGTGGGTTCCTTTTTTGCGAGCTCATCGTCTCTATAATTTCCGATGTTTCCGTTATGGACATACAACCAGAACAAGCTACCACGGTGCCAAAGTACAACAGTCATGTGCAAAACAATAAATCGGAAGTAAACTAAATTCTTATTGGCACTCGATAGAAGAGACTGCAGGAACATGACAGGAATACTAACTGGTCACTGTCTGGGGGGCGACTGCAAGATGGAGCTGACAGATCGAGAAGACTGCAAGAAATGCCTGCAGCCGTACACCAGGGAAACAATGTAGCGTCTCTTGTGCACTTCTCCCGAATTGGCAAGGCTACGCTGTAAGCAACTGGAGTCTCCACAGTATGATACACTGGAAGAGGTATCGATAGTAAGGCCGTAGAGTCTGTTAAAATCCCTTGGACTTGGCAAGTGAACTACATCTGGTATCACAAAGGACCAAACTGGTCTATGCGTGGCTTATTGCCCTACCAGATTAACCTAACCTAACCAGCCAAGACGAAAAAAATCTGCGTTGCTCTTCATCATCATCATCTTTTATTGGAGTTTCTTTTAGCAACCACTTTATAGAACGCTTAAAGAGTCTCCAATCCAAGTTAAAGGCTGTGATAATTGCAATAATTCCACACCGAAAAAATATTTTTTTACAGTGCATTTGGCTACGCGAAGCACCAGTGAGTGCAATCACTTTGCTGCGAACTACAATGCTCCGTGAGCAATGAACGAAATTTGATCTCGTAAAATGGAGCAATACACCACAACAAAGAGCAGGGAAACACAACAAGAAAATCAGCAACATATGCATGCAAATACGCGCCACAACAACAGTAATATGTGCAACATTAGACGGTGTACGATGGACGCCGTTTGACGGCGATGAACCGCTAAAGAAAGTGCCGCAATATCATGTGTAAGGGAGAATGTACAACTGGGTGCTGGAGAAATGCACACACATAAAAGTAACCGCGAGCGTTGCGAAATTGTCATTAGTAATAAATGATTGTGCAAATGCGGACGTAAGGATAACAAATGCTGTGAGAGCAAGCCGGCAAGCCAAGAAAAGGAATAATTCCGAAAAGAAAATATTTAAAAAGGATAAACGCAGTAGTTAGTGTTAAGTGAAGCTTTTGCGCGTAAAGCGTGTGCGCTGTGTTATACTTGGAGATACGGTTAACAGTGTGGTAGCATGCCCGACTGTTACGCGTGGCTGGCCGTGGTGTGTGTTCTGTGTGTGCTGAATGTGGGCTGGTGCCGCGCCGCCGACGACGATGAACAGTGAGTATGAGTGAAGAGCATTTTTGCTAGGATAGCATAAATGCATAAATGTTGTTCCAATAAAATTATATTATTTTTCTACTTTTATTTTGTTCTCCCCTCAATTGCCTGTTGCCAGTGTGCACATCAAAGTGCGAATGCCGGAAGTGGCGCGGAAACATAAATCACGCAAACCCTCGCAGCAGCTTAGCCACCACAAGTACCACCACTTGCCACATCACCATTACCATAACCTACACAAGCCATACTATCAGCCGCAACTACACGCCGCCCAGTATCCAAATCAAGCAGCCAAACATGGCCGCAGAGCCGTAAGGCCAACCCCAGCGACGCCGCCAATCATGTCACACAATCCTCACGAAATGGCGGCTGCATACGGCGATGACAGCATGGCCGAGCACCTGTTGTATACACCAGCAGCTGCACAGCCGATATCTGTTGTCGATTTGAAGAGCAACTATGGCCCGACGTTATTTGGCAGCGCCGGTGAGGCGAGTCAGCATGAAAACATACAAGAACAAGAGGACATGTTGACTATGCCGGGCGGCACGCAACAGCTGATGCAACATATGGAATTAATGAGCGCTTTGGCAGCAGCGGCAGCGGCTACATCAGGCGACACAAGCGGTGAGCAAGAAGATGGCAATAGCCCGGGCGGTGCTACGGAAACAAACACATTGTTGGCGGATGACTTTTTAGCCGAACTGCAACGTACTTATGCGAATGGTAAATATCCGACGACAAGTTTTCGGCGCAAGAAGAAATATCGGGGGGCGGGGCTGGCGGAAATAGGTGATGCTGCTGCAACATATGCCTTAAACTCAACGCCACAACAACAAAGTATACAATTATTACAACAACAACAACAGCTACAGCTAATGCGACAACAACATGAACAACAAAAACAACAACTAAAACAACAACAACAACTAAAACAGCAGCAACAGCAACAACAACATTATAAACACCAGCCACAATTCTATGGCGCTAGCTACTTTCTGCAACAACAGCCCAAGCCGCAAGCGCAAATGTTGAACGCACCACCAGTAATTAGTAGCAACAACAACAATAACTACCACAACTATCAGCCGCATATGCATTACAAAAACCAGCAGCACTACAACTCTAATGACATTTATACTACCGCCACATCCGATGAAGACGAGCACGACACCGACGACGTTGATTCTAACGAAGTTGAAGACACAAATGACGTCGCCAGCGGTGCTGACGATGACCACGACCATGAACACGACTACGACAACGATGATGATGTGGCGCTGTACTTTTCCAGCCGCCCACCAATGACCACCGCGCTCTCACCCACCCCGAACGCATACAGTAACGACGCTAATGACTACGATGATGACGTGCAGCAATTCGGTTACAATAGCCACAAGAACAACTACTTTGCCGGCATTGAAGGTGACGGCAAGGTAGGTGTTAATCCGGTTAGTTATCAGCCGACAACAGCCTATGGAGCATATGCGGTCATACCATCGACACCAGCGACAGCGACAGCAACACAACACAAACGGCGACCATATCGACAGTTGCAACAGCAACAACACAGACACACGCAGCAACAGCACCGTTATACAGCTACACAAGCATTTGGCATAGCGGGTCATCAACAGTTGCAGCAACCACTACAGCTACAACAACAACTAATCACCACAGCACAACCAATTAACGTCGTCGTTCCAACTGCAAGTGACTTTGATGACCAACAGACACCAGCAGCAATACAACCGCAGCCGAGCAGGCAGCAGCATCACAAGTACCCGGTGTCACCACGCTACAAGAAAGGCAAAAACCGCATCAAAGGAAAGCTAAATCGAAATCGCATTCTAACGCAATAATTGCTTTTGCTTCGGCGGCGACGAGACGCTCAGCGTACGGCAACGACTAGAATTGTCACTGGTCAGTTGAATAACTTCATTTGCTGCCGTGGTGACTAACTACATCCTCGATACAAATATCGCCAACAACAACAACAACAACACACCTTTCGCTTTGGCAGTCCGATCTTGTAGGCGTATAATACCGTTAGTTGTTATTAGTGTTGAGCTATGGTAATTGCAACATCGCACGACTATTCCCATATTCCCTTGCTGCAGCTGCGTATAAATTGCTTGAACAAGTGTGTTGTGTAGAGCAGAAGCAGCAGCAGCAATATACACTTTTAGATTGGTTAGCGCAGTACCAGCAGGTTAAGTGGATTTACGGCCAGTCGGAGAGTTAACACATTTGCGATTAGCTTAATTTATTGACATTCCCCTATCAAGTTAAGGTAATACTAACGCCAAGCATGTTTAAGTTCGAAAATAAAGTCTAAGCAAAATGGTTTAAGAGTTCATAAGCGGATTTTGTTTTTTTTTTTTTTTTGCTTAGTATTTGTATTCAATATTGTTAGCGAAACTATTAAACTTCGAACTTTTCGCTGAAAGTTGAATATAAAATATATAGGCATCTATTTTTTTATGCTATCTACTGCGAGTTTAAACGTACACACGCAAAAAATAGTAAGACTTTTGAATTTAACTTTCGCTCGAAAACCCATACGTCGAATTTTTTTTTTTTCTAGGTTGGTAAGACTGCCAGTCACAGCTATACCAAATGTCACATCAAAATAAATATTGCTGTTTGGTATATTCTTGTCATTCTGAAATATGATCCACTAGACGATGCAAACCATACCTTTTTCAAGTGCCAATGATGGAAGGAAGCACGAATAACTGTAGAAAATAAGCTCGGAGAACTAAGTGTGGAAAACCGTAGAGAAAAAATGATATCTAGCAGCGAAAGCTGGGAACTAATTGCCTCGTACGTGCACCATGTTCTACGCACAAAAAAAAGAGACATGGATGCGGACTCCCAATAGAAGACGAGCTAAATAGCTTGATGCTGGCTACAAAGTCATAGGCATCGCTGGACGCAGGGAGAGTAGAAATTGAAATGTAATGGGTCCATCTCGGAATGAAGTAATGCGAAAGCGGTCCCGGGGTAGGGAAAAATTCTACGACAGAAGGAGGGAGTGTTTTAGTGGTGCGAAGGTATTTTAAACAATCTTTACGGCCTTAAAAAAAAAAATTCTGAAATACGATGAGCAAATTATTCATAAAAAATGTAACTAAATTTTGTCTGTAAATTTTACGGAACTGCATATGTCCAAACAAAAATACATATGATTTTATTCGCCGAATAGCCAGTTTACTTCAGTGTCAGTCAAAAACAAAGTGTCAAATCAAAACAATTACATAAAATGTCAATGACAATTGGAAAGTCTCCGCCCTGACACATAGATGGCGCTACTAGAATTAAATTCATATGACTTTTAGTTAGCCTTAACCTTCAAACTGCGCGTGTATAAATTTGACCGCTGTCGGATTATTGATTTCTGTAATTTAGAAATGTTTTCAGTGAAGCTACTTTTGTTATTGTTAAAAAATGTATTTAAAAAAAACAAAAACCAACTTTGCACGTTGATAAAATATTAATTTTAAAGGAAAACAAGAAAAAGCGTTAACTTCAGTTGCACCGAAGCTAAGTACTCTTCACAGGTGCATTTCTGTTAGTAATTATGTGTTCAGTTTGTATGACAGCTATATGCTATAGTAATCCGATCTGAACAATTTCTTCAGAGATTACATTGTTGCCTCAAAATGAAAATATCTTGTCAAATGTGAAAGTTTTCCATACATGAACTTAATTCCGATTGTTCAGTTTGTATGGCAGCTATATGCTATAGTAATCCGATCTGTACAATTTCTTCAGAGATTACATTGTTGCC